AGTATGCGGCCAATCAGCTCCGGCCGGAGCAGTTGATTGTGAACGGGTATCCTTTGAAGACGGAGGAGATGGCGGAGCTTTTCGGGTGCCCTTTGCCGCCTAGGAAGTTGAAGCCGGGCACGTATTGGTATGATAAGGAATCAGGTCTTTGGGGAAAGGTAAAAATAACAGATTTTTAGTATACTCAATTTTTTTTTTCATTTATTGTTTTTTAAATAAGTGAGGGAAAATGTGGTCATTTAGTTTGTGGTGTGTTCAATTTGATAGGAGGGAGAGAAGCCTGATAGAATTATTAGTTCGAATTTGAATTTTACGGGTAAACTAAGCCCGAGCGCGAGCAATGGGAATACTGAGGTGTACATAAATGGTCGAGAAATTACGTAGCTTGAGCTGGGAATACTGAAGGTTGGTAAATCTGGGAATTTACCAAGTCTGACTGTGTTTTGTCAATTGTTTTATGTTGATGCAACAAAAAACCTGGAGAAATGGGGGTGCTTTAAACTAATGTAAAGCTGTAGCTCTTTGCTGAAGCATCTTTTATCTATTTAACTTTGTTAGAGTGACTGCTGTGGCAATATTGTTTTTCGATAAAGACTGAAAAGCTTGCTTATATATACTTCAATTGAGATTGGCACGGTAATTTAATTTTGAAATTTGTTGTCAAGTATTTGAATCAAATGCTCATCAGTTTGTTGATTTCTATATTATGTTAACCCAAAGCTCAAGTATAGAATAGTCTAAATAATTGTTAGGTATATAGGAAATTCAATCAATCAATGCTTGTATTCAGCTTGCAAATGTACAATGCCCTCGTGATACCCATTTTTGGGTGTATGATGACGGTCGATATGAAGAGGAAGGCCAAAATAATATCAGAGGAAATATCTGAAAAAAGGTTAGATTTCAAGAGAAAAAATATGATTATCTTAAATAAATTACAACTGTAGAGGCATTTTTTTTCAGTGGAATCATGTTTAGCGACATCTCAAATCTTATCACTTTAGGCATCAACTCGGTTCGTGTGTTCCTTGTTCTCTCTGCTTGTTCCTCAAGGTCAGCCTCATGGGCTAAAGGATGAGCCTAGAAACTACACGACTGTACCGAGTTATCTTGAGCCGAAAAAAAAGTTTCAGAAGCTTCTTCTTTTTGGACTGCAAGGCTCTGGTACCAGCACCATTTTCAAGCAGGTAGTTTTAATTGAGTTTCGAAAAGGGTGATGTTATATACAGCAACTAAGCAGTCAAAGCTGTCAATATTCCTGTGCTCACATTAATCAGAAGAAAAAATATGTTAAGAAAATGTTATAATTGTTTACTCCATTTCTTATCCTTAATCAATTTCTCGATTCCCTGCTCTTTTTTTTTTTTTCCCTCCTCTCACTGAACAGGCCAAGTTTTTGTACCGGAGCAAGTTTACCCCTGAGGAACGACAGGATATGAAACTCATGATCCAGAGCAATATGTACAAGTATCTCAGCATCCTGCTTGATGCTCGAGAACGTTTTGAGGAGGAAGATTTATTAGAGAGAAGAAGGTAAGCTTCTGACGAAGAAGCTGCTGAAGCAGGTATCATATCAAACAAAGAACTCTTCGAAAATTATGTCTTAGGTTATCTCAGTAATAGGTTTTCAATAAATGATGAAACTTTGGTTTTTTGCGGCCATAAGAGTTTGCTTTTCTACCTTTTTTTCTTTTCTTTTCTTTTCTCAAAGTCTTACCTATTTGGGTATTTGAATATGGTCTTTGTAATATTGCTGTATGAAGCGAAAAATATGACAAAAACTTGATTTTTTATGGTTCAGTAACTATTGTTAGTACTGTTATTAAAAAAAATTCATTTTGTACTGCTTTCACTTCATTTCGTGATTTGGTTTCTTTAAGTTTTTGCAGAGGTAAATAACCAATGCATTTATTCTCTCAACCCAAGATTGAAGCACTTTTCTGACTGGCTGCTCGACATAATTGCCACTGGGGATTTGGATGCATTTTTCCCAGCAGCAACACGCGAATATGCCCCGCTTGTTGAGAAAGTATGGAAAGATCCTGCTATTCAGGAGACTTATAAGAGAAAGAATGAACTCCACTTTCTTCCAGACGTAACCGAGTACTTCTTGAGCAGGGTATATTCTTCATCACTTTAAAGATGAGTGTTTTAGTGTAATTGAGAGAGAGAGGGCTTGTGTGATATTGCTTCTGCGTTATCTTCGAATAATATATATTATCTGGTCTTCTTGAAAGATTAATCAAATTCGATTCAGTTACCAAATCTTTTTTTTTTTGGGGTCTCAAAGGCAGTTGAAATATCGAACAACGAGTATGAACCTTCAGACAAAGATATACTGTTTGCTGAAGGGGTGACTCAAGGTAATGGGCTGGCTTTTATGGAGTTCTCATTGGACGATCGAAGCCCAATGTTAGAAACTTACACAGAAAACATGGAATCTGTGCCCCCACCTCTCACCAAGTTTTCCTTGCCAGGAAGAAATATTGTCGGCTCCAAAGGAAAAAATTTCAACTCTTGAAATTGGAAATGGATATTATGGTTTAGTTTAGTTTGTTCTAAAATAAAAATAAAAATAAAAAATTTGTTCATTTCACAAATAAGGTACCAGGTGATCCGAGTCAACGCCAAGGGCATGAACGAGGGTTGCAAGTGGGTCGAGATGTTCGAGGATGTTCGTGTGGTCGTCTTCTGCGTGGCCCTCAGCGATTATGATCAGGTGTGGGTGTCTTCAGACGCTTCCCGTGAGCCCCACCTCACGAACCGTATGATTCAAAGCAGGGACTTCTTCGAGTCCATGGTCAAGCACCCGTGCTTTAAGGACACCTCATTTGTCCTCGTCCTCAACAAGTATGATTTGTTCGAGGAAAAAGTCAACCGGGCCCCGCTCGGGAAATGCCATTGGTTCAGTGACTTTAGCCCGGTCAGGCCCCACCACAACACACAGTCCCTGGCCCAACAGGCCTACTTTTACGTGGCCATGCGGTTTAAGGACCTTTACGCTTCCTTAACTGGCCGGAAGCTTTTCGTCTGGCAGACACGGGCCAGAGAGAGGCCCACAGTGGACGAGGCCTTCAAATACATACGAGAGGTCGTGAGGTGGGACGAGGAGAAGGAGGATATGTACTATGCAGCCGGAGGGGAGGACTCGTTTTACAGCACAACTGACGTGAGCACGTCCTCATTTGCCCGCCAAGAGTGAAGAAAAAAAATCAGGAGGGCATAAGCGTAATCATCGGTCCCTGTCTGTTGTACATAGGTGGGCGGTAGTATGATCTTTTTTGTTTTATTATTTATTGGCCGAGCTTTGATTTCTGGGTATGGAAATGGGAAAAAAAGTGTTTTTTTTAAATGGTCTCTGTTGAGAGGTGAAATTAAGAAATGTGACATGGTAGTTTGGCTCTTAACATTATTTTTACAAGTTAAAGTGACCAACAATTCATATTTTAGTGATCATCATAAGGTAATAACCAAAACAAAGAGCATGTTAATGATCATAGCCATATTATTTCTCCATGTGAGCACATGATCTTGATCCAAATCTTGTTCCCTACCACATGTGATGCTAAACCAGATCCTTTTGTTCAGCTAAGCTTCCACATTGTTGAGAATCTTGGCAAGACAACCCAAGTCAACTAGACAACACCTAATGTGCACATGAGAAATTTAACAACCATTTGCATATAATTTCTACCATTTTGTCTTGGTCATTCATGAGATACTTTAAGTATCATTCCTTAGCTGAGAATAGCCTTTGAATACTTAGAAAACATTAGCAAAGAGTGAGAAAAACCGAGTTCAAGCAAGAGAGGGAGAGAAGGAGAAGAACCGAGCAACACTTCTTTCATTTCTTCTCATCATTTTCATTTTCTTGAAGGAGGTAAGGTGCCTCTGTTATGACATTAAGTAATTGTTTCCTGAAAATGTGTTCTTCATATAAATTGTAGTTCGTCTTGTTATATTTCTCTAGGCTTTGGAATTTCGATAATCCGATTAATATTGATTGAGTTATGATTTTTACAAATTTATCATACAAGCAGTTTTTTATGGAACCGACAGCATGAGTCTATATAATGTTTGGCCTGTTTATGGTGTCATAATGTGATCTAGTGAATTTGTAGTCTTCATAAAAGTTATAGTTCTGTTGATTAGCTTTTTAATGAGATTGGAGTCATGCTGAGTTGATATCTATAGCTCGAGTTGTGTTCATATAATTGTAGATATACATGAAGTAGAGTTTTACTCTTTGGCAGAAAACTGATGTTAAATGTTGGTAGATTTTACGCCATCTTAAAGACCTTATCTGCTTTTGTGTTTTGAATGAAAGTTGTAGGGCTATCTCTTAGCTTTGTAAGCATACTATAACCATGAAATTTAGAAGTCGGTAACATGATTAAGAAGATAAATACTGAGGTACTGTTTATATCATACTTTAGTCTCGGACTGACTTTATGAATCGAATGTTTTGTATCCAAACTCATTTATAAAGTGATTATTTGCCAATATGGTCTTTCGCAAAGCTGTAGAAATTTGAGTTAGCTATCATTTAGTTTTTGAATCTCATTAAAAACATGTCTGTAGATCCAGTTATCTATTAAATACTGAAGTCTGGTCGGTTACAAGTTCTCGATTTTTGACTGCTACTCAGTTTTGAATGTTTGATGATTTATTTCCTAGTACACGACCTTATTTGCTTTATGTGTCTTCATAAGAATTGTAGATACATGTGTTAGGATTTTAGTGCAACATGAATCATATTCATCCGAGTTTTGTACTGAAAGTTATGTTGATTTCAAAAACCTGCCCGATTTAAGTTTTTTAAAAAAAATGTACATAGTATTTTTAGAAATGGGATTTCCTTGATTAAATGATTATGTGAGCTTAGTTGGACTAAGTGATTGTTATGATTAGTTTTTCATGTGTTGCATAGTCATTTATAGGACTATTTTAATAAATGTAGGTGCTTGAGGAGCCGAGCTCGCCGCCTACCCGTTATTGTTGTGCTTTCGCTTGTTATCGTTCAGGTGGTTTTACTTATAAAATTTGCTATGCCATACGTATTATAATTAATGTTGAGTTGGTATGATCTAAGTATGCATGTAAACCATGTAGCCTATCGGCGTGAGCCGATTCGGCCGTCGGTACGGTTGTTCTCGTCGATGTAATACGGTTACCCTTGCGAGGTAAGTCCCTTAAGACCTAATGAAAGGCCGTGTCCGTAGCGTGGCACGTACCCCCACCGTTAGGGTAATGAATCCCCTTTTCGTGGCTAATGTAACGCCCCGTTCGATTTATAGAATTTCTCGGATTATTCTATTTATCGAATCTTAATTTTGAGATTATATTTTATATTATTATATGGACACTGTGATTATATATCTCGTTCGATTTTATTTTATCAATCGTCTTTTGAATTTTCGGTTTAATCGCGTAAGCCGAATTGTTGTTCGTTTGAATTCCCGTGGAGAATAGTAGGAAAATGATTTAAAATGCCGATGCCGAACTCCCGTCATTTCGTTCGATTACTTTAATTGAGCTCGTATTTTCCCAAAGACGGTAAACATTTCCGAACCCTCTCGTTATTGCAGTTGTTCTCGTATATCACATGTTATATATAAGTATCGTTCGTATTACCGAATCCTTGTTTGAAGTTGGATTTTTTTGATTGGTACATGCATGATTTAATGCTCTATTGTGCTGTAATTATGACCATTAGAAACCCGTAATTTGTTGTTGAGGCCTTCTGATGAAATGTAGTATTTTCTGTTGGCTTTCTCGGGGTTTTTTAATTTTGATAATTCGAGTTATATCGAGTGAGTTATGATTTTTATAAAACGAGTGTGCAAGCAGTTTTCGAAAATCTGGCAGCATGTATTAATAAATGTTTGACCTTTTTATGGTACTTAAATGTGCTCAAATGAGTTTGTGATCTTCATGAATGTTGTAGGTCTATTAATTAGGTTTCTAATGAGATAAGATTCATTCTGAGATGATATATGTAGCTCGGGTTTTGATAATTTTAATGTAGATATGCATGAAGTAGGATTTTATACTTTGATAGAATTTGATGTTTGAATGTTAGCTATTTTTACACTACCTTAATGACCTTATTTACTTTCATTTTCTTCATAGAAATTGTAGATGCATGTCTTATGATTCTAGTGCAACTTGAATCATTTTCATTTGAGTTTTGTACAGAAAGTTATGTTGATTTCAAAAACGCTGCACGGGTCAAGTTTTGAAAAACGTAAGTGGTGTTTTCGAAAATGGGATTTCTTTGATTAAATGCTTATGTGAGCTTAGTTGGATTAAGTGATTGTTATGATTGGTTGGTCATGTGTTGAATAGTCATTTATAGGACTATTTTAATATATGTAGGTGTTTGACGAGCTGAGCTCGCTGCCTACTCGTGTTTTTGTATCTATCGCTTCGGTAACCAGGTGGGTTTACTTATAAAATTTGCTATGCCGTATGTGTTTACTTTAATATTGGGTTGGTATGATTTAAGTATACATGTAAACCATGTAGCCTATCGGCGTGAGCCGATTCGGCCGTCGGTACGATTGTCCCCGTCGATGTAATACGGTTACCCTTGCGAGGTAAGTCTCCTAAGACCTAATGAAAGGCCGTGTCTTGTTGTATGGCACGTACCCCCATGAGTTAGGGTAATGAATCCCCTTTCCGTGGCTAATGAAAGATGTGTACACGTGGGTAATATGTTGTGATGTGATTAGGAGACGTGACAGAATAACTGATTTATGTTCATGCTATAACCATACCTTCTTTACATTATTTATTAATGTGATATACGTGCATATTGGTGAGTACGCATTTTCATGTTGTGCTCATCCCCACCTGCTCTTCACGGATGCAGGTTAAGCAGGAGCCGAGTGATGAGGAAGGACGAGTGGGTCGGTCTTATGATTATGATTATGATTATTTATGCTTCCGTGTATGAATAAATCTGTTAGTGTTTGGAACTTTGTTTTGGGTTAAGACATGAAAACTGTTTTAAAAACTCCTGTTTGAGTATGTTAATTTTTGGGATGTTTTAATGAACCTAATGTGAATTGGTCATAATGTGTTTGGTTATTTCATGCCTTCGTTTTCGAGCTGAATAACTTATGTTGAAAATCAGGGTAATGAAACCTTGTGAAAAATCCGGGTAATGAAATCCCGTGGGCCCAGATATGACTTGGGTTAAGAAAAACGTTGATTAA